GAGATCAACATTAAACTAAACATTTAAATTAATGACTTTAACTACTCTAGCAATGTATTGATATCACACATTAATTCTTTAAGTATCGTTATCATCAAAATACCTCAAGTCATTAACAATTAACTCACATCATAACTTAATCACAATTATTATATCATGATTTTTCTTTCCTAAACATTGATATAGGTACCTCAAACTATTCATAAGAACAAACACTTAAAGGATAAAAATATTCACCACCGTTATTCACAAATTACATTTCCATAGTTAAATCTTTTATGACCTTGTGAGAAGCATAAAAAGAAATTTTTGTAACCTCTTTTTTAAAACTTAATCCACACTTAACCCTTCAGTAAAATATTATAACCAAAGTTTTCTTTTCCTTCCCCTCAAAATAAACAAAAAAAATTTAGTTATATAATTAATTAAAACATATTTTCTCCAAATATTTTCTATAACAAAGTAGTTTCACAAATCTTTTTTATTAATTAAAAACACTCATAATTATTAAAACTCTCTAAAATATTTTATAATACCCTTTTAATTAATTAAAAAACATCCTTTTTAATAATTTAAGAAATTTTGGTGTTACAACTTATACAATAGCAATAGCTCTTCCTTCTTTTGCCACTTCATCATTATGACTCCTCACTTGAGCTACTCTTAGGTTTTCTGCTAATGGAGGTGGATTACTTTCATTTTTCACTATAACTCACGAACCTTGAGCTCTGAGATAAAACCTCATTTTTCAAGCCTACAAGTGATAGTTTTCACACACACAAAAAGGGCAAAAATTGATATAATATATATTTAGATATCATGAACTCAAATTTTTACACAATGAAAGCGCATATTTACAACAAGTATTTAAATATTAAAACTGATTAACCCTTAATTAGGTTAAACAAACAGTAAAATATGACTAAATTAACAAGCAAACATTACTTGACTGCACAACTTACTTTTTTTGAACATAAACAACCTTTAACCAAATTTACAAATAAAACAAAAGACTACAAAGATTTTAAAATATTTAATTATAACAATGGAAAAACATCAAGTACAACAATGATAATGTAATAACACAGGGTGGGATAGCTGGCCCCAGATTTAACGCGGCTGCATACACAAGACAGGATTCGAACCCGTGACCTTGCTTAAGCATGGATCGAACCCCTACCACTGAACCACACGTTTGGGGTTAGCAAACAAGTATTTTAGTAGTACTTCAATAACACATGAATTGACGTAGTGACACATAGGTTGACTCAAAACCATTTAAATTTATTTATTTTTTATTCATATAAACAATAACAATAATATAATTTGAATTTAGAATTATGTGCATGTTACTCCAACCTCACCACTAGATTTAAGCTCACTTTAGTTGTTGTTGGGAACCATGCCTTGCCACATAATTTAGGTTTGTTTGTTTGAACATTATGGCTCTCTTTCATTTCCAAAACGATTTTCAGCAATTCCCCGAACACAGCTTCAACAGCTGCTTTTGCTATTATCATGATTAACAAGACAAGCAGAAGAGAAATACCAACAACAACTAAAAGAAGATGAAGCAACCTCTCTCTACGGTCTATAGTGTGATTAGGATAAGCATAATTAATGTCAAAATGTAACTTTCTCATTACTTCATTCCTATTATTTTGTTGACTTGTCCATGTACGTTAAATGAAATTGACTTGTGGGGTTATTGGATTACTTGACTTATACCAACTTCCATGTTGTTTCAGCAAGACCCGTTCCATGAAAGCTTAACTGAAATGGTGACATTTATTTTAAATAAATATTGATTAAAAAATAAATAAAATAATAAATATAAAAAAGTTTAATGGAAATCGATGTTATCTAATTTTGACGAAAAACGAATTAGAAATTTTAATTGGAGAATGCCATCTTCTACTAAAATGCATTTGCAGACAAAGGTGGAACCGAATGTTCCCCAAGTTAGTGGTTAACTAGAAGCTTTGATCTCACCAGCCATTTATAACTTTCGTGGTTGAACAAGCATACAATAATTTTTCGATCGATCAATGGTAAACATAAGAATTTCATTCTTATCATCCTGACTTACCTAATAAAAACAGAATCTATTATATATTTTTAATGTGCTTTTTGTGTTTCTTGTTGTCAAAATCGAAAGGTTATGTAACTTTATTGAGATTTTGTAAAATCGTAAACTTGTTAAAGTTTACTTAATACAAAAATATGTTAAAATATTTATTAATAGCATAATAATTCAATATTTCAAATTTATATTAAAGTAAAATAATAAATTATAATAATAAGTAGCAAAATTTAGTAGCAAATCATACATAATTTTACATAAAACATAAGTATTTAAAATGACAACAAATAAAAAAATAAAAAAGACTAATATCTTCATATCTCCATGTCTAATGCTCTAATATTATCATCTTTAAGTCCAAGATCTTCACCACAAGAACTCCAAAAACACCATAACATGAAAAGAGAACGCGACGAGCTAGCTACAAAAACACCGACCAGAGAATGCAATGACTAGGAGTGACAAATGGATGGATTGCATAATTTTTTAGGACGAAGATCATAATAGATTAGATAAAAATAATCAATTAATCCATTTAAATCCATTAAAAATTCACTTAAAAATCCAATTCATCCAATCTATTTAAAGTAAAAAATCCATCTAATCTATCCATTAACAATTTTTTATGATGGATATCCAATCCATCCATAAAAGTAATGTTTTAAAAATTAAATAATTTTTATTTTTAAATATTTTATTTCTCTCTTTTTTATTTATAAGTTGTCATTATATTCTTATATAATATTTTAAAATTTATAAAACTTTTTTATGTTAAAATAATATTCTAAAATCTCAATTCAATAAACATTCCATATTGTAATCCAATGAATTTTGAAAAAGTAGTGGATTGATCATTAATTATCTATAAAATTAAATGGATGGATTAGATTTAATTTATTATTTAATGGATAGAATGAATGAATTTATTTGTGGATGAATTAAATGGATGATGGATAAATAGATTGATTTGACATTTCTAACGACAACGAGCCATTGACATTGATGAGCTACCACAGAAACACCACGACACAGAGAATGCAACCCCGACCCCAACCAGAGAACGTGACGACGAAATCTTAGTGAGAGATTGAGAGAAATGAATGGGCAAGCGACACTACGATGCAACAATCCCAAGCATGCGACATTGCAACACAGAGACCCTAAGCAAGCGATGCAACAACCTTGACCAGAGAACAAGTGAGTGGTTGAGACAAACGAGTTTTCAAGTTGAGAGATTCATTCAAAACTAGAAGAAAACAAACCCTAAAGTGAAACGCTACACTCAATATCATTTGGGGTTTTTCTAAGTGAGTCCTATAGATTGCAAAATCACAACAAACTCACGATTTTGGGAAATTTCGCTCGAGTGCACTTGAGTGTACTAAAAACTAAGTTTGCAGATGAGTTGAACATGTTTGATTACATAATCTTGTAAGTTTGGTAGTTTTTACGAGTTATCACTCGAGATTGACAACCATCAGTTCCTTATAATGTCAAGTAGAGTTTAATATTTTTTTTAAAAAGTTTTGTTCTAATGAAAGAACTTAACCTGATGCTCTTAAATTTTAGTTGTTTATATTTTGATTATTTCCTATAATTTTTTGGTTTTGTTCCATTAGATTTAATAGTTAATCTCAAGGTAAGGATGGAAAAAAAAATTACTAGGTGAAATCGAAACTTTTTATAAAAGACTAAAAATGAAAATGCCTTATTTATAGGGATTAAAAAGTTAGTTATGTTGAAATTTTCTTATAAATTCTTATATGCCACAATCAATTATGTATTTTTTTTGTGTGAAAATGAGCTAATATTATGATCTATTTAATAATACTTAAGTTACCAATAATGTGATCAAATATAATGGGCCTTAGACACTTAATTCTATGTGAAAAACAGTGTAAACATAACCTTAAGACACGTGATGAGGAGTATTAAGTAATTTTTAAATTTTTTAAAATTTGTAGACTTGATTTATGTATTAAATTTTTTTAACTTAATGATTTGATCATTAAAATTTGATGTAAAACATGAATTATTAAATAAAGTAATTCTAGATAAACTTATACTTTGAGTGAATGGACTCCCCTCTCTCTCTCTCTCTCTATATATATATATATATATATATATGCATGTATGTATATATATTTTTGGAACCAAAACCAATTTTTGCTCAATTTACATGGATGCAAAATGTTTACAAATTTTAGGAGAAAAATAAAGAAAAAATTTGTTGAAACCAAAATCAAAACTTACTTATTTTGCTAAGACCGAAAACTTATTTAAGTCATTTACTGAAATTATAAAGTGAAATTTAAAAAAAAAACGTAAGTTTTAGTATTTTTAATCTATATATATACTTGTTCTAGGTATTCGTCATGCACGAGGTAGTAAATTTGGGCCAAGGGTCCTGGATTGCTCTCTGCTCTGTATTGTACTGTTGGCTTGATTGAACTGAATGCTTTGTCGTCCAAATTGATTGATTCTTGTTGAGACTCTAATGTGGCTAAATTGCAGATGCAATGGGTGGGGTATACTAACACTTAGTAATAGAGGAAGGCTAGAGTAATAGACATTTTAAACCACTTATTAATAGTCCTATCACAGAATTAAAAGGTGTGATAAATGAGTACATTGTACAATGACGTTGAGAATGTGTGTCAGATATGTGCTAAAATTCTTAGCATAGGGCCCAGTTCTCCTTATACAATCATATGATTGGGCATGTACATGAAATGATTCTACTCCTAATGTTAACTTAGGTCAAAGGCCCCTTTGAGGCGTTTAGTTTAATAGATTAATTAATTGCCCCTTAATTATCTTGGTATGCTTACAAAGCATTTACATCAAGTTAATTGTTGAAGTCGTTTGAGTTGAATTCTCATTTCTTTTGCACAGATAAGATTTTTATTTCACCAAATAGAAAAGACAACAAACTGTTTTGATATTTAGTAAAAGCATACAACTGCAAAATAGACCCTAATAACCAATTGAAGTAACCGTCTAATTGACTGGAAAACAAATTGTTACAACTACTGAGGTAGTTTTATTTGGATGAACAACTACTGAGATAACCCAATGCATTATTGACACAAAATCAAATTCTACATCAACTCCATGCTTGCCTTTAGGTTAGGATAAGAATCACCATAATCAGTACCACAATGAATCCATAATCGACGTTGGCTTTCACTCTCACCACGGCACTCTCTTTAGAAAACCCAATTCTTCCAGGAGCAACGTATTTAGCAATCTGTTGTTAAGAAAAAAAAACACGTATTTAGCAATCTGCAATTTCCCATGATATAGCATTCCCAATAGCCACGATAGAAAGGTTAAAAAATATAGTCTAAAGTTGTGTAGATTATTTTGGCACAAACTTTCTAGGATATAAATAAGGTGTAAAAATATATTTTTCTTTTGCACGAACAGACTTTTAATTACTTTATTGATCAATTATTTTAGATATTACATTTAGAGCAGTTTTTATTAAAGAAAAGAGTCTTATCTATAAATGATAATCTATGATTAGATAATAGTATATATCTAAAAAAATTTACATTCTCAGTGTACTTAAGCTAAAATTTTAAAATTATATTTCGCATAAAAATATTTAAAGGTCACCATCTATGTATAAATTTATAAAAAAGTGTAGGTGCGATGGGTTCTTACTCTAATGTTTGAAACAAAATATAGATATAACTTTTTAATTACAAAATTAAATAATAAGATATTAATTTATATAAGTTTTCTCATAGAAATTTTTTTTTGGATGAGATTTCTCATTATCATCATTTTCCATAAAGTTTAGCATGGAATTAATCTGTTTTAGTGCAGAACATTAATGTCTACTATTCATGTATCAAATAAAAGTATAATAAATTATATTACTAGTGACATCTTTAAAGTTTATGCAAGCAATTTAATTTTCACTAAATAATAGTTACACTTATAAGACAATCGTAACACTTGGATAATTGTTATTTGTTACGTAAATGGTAATTTCTTTTGCAGTGTAAGATATAAATAAATGAACTCATGCACCTGGGCTATTTTGTCGTTGGACTGAACGTCATGAACACTAAATGATCCACCAGACCAACTTCCTAGTACCATAAAGTCACAAACAATTTCTTCAGTATTTGCAGCTAAGAACACGTCCAAGTTGGGCTTTAGTTGGATTATATGGTGTTGCTTTACACTAAAGAGCAAATCGTTTCTTTGGTCACTTTTACCCCTAAAAACTTCCCAACGATTATGTGCTGTCATTCTCTACACAAACAAAAACACACAAATATGATATATAACATCTCTAGACGTGTCCTTAATAAAGTTTATCTATCCAAATACATGTGATCGAAGGCAAACCTTGCTGTGTAGCGTGACGATAGGGTTCTTCTCGTCATCAAATAAGGTATATCGTTTATGGATCGAGAAGGAAGGCCTTTCAAGGTTGAAAATGATGCTGTCGTCAATGTTTTTGACAATAAATTTATCGGGAAAGCCCAATTTCTTCACCGTTCTAACAGTCTCTAGTATGACGGGAAATGGAGCACAATACTTGTCATGTCCAAGGACAGCGGACGTTCGACTCATTGTTGAAGCTGGTCGAGACCCAATGAGAAATGAAGAATAAACATAAATATAAAGGAATCTAGGAAATGTCAGAAATTTTATAAATAACTCCAGAATATATATATATATATATATAATTTAACTTAGAACTTGTATACCTTGTCTGTCGCTTGAATCCAAGCCTTGAATCTTGATCCAAACCCATAAATAAGAGAATAAAAGAAATTTATTATTTGGTTGATAGTTATTGTTTTCTCTCGAGGTTTAATAATTTTAGAAAAAAGATAAACACATATATGAAAGTTGCTCACCCAATACATGTAGTTAATTGTATATATTAATATGGTTAATTTTATTTTGATTGTATTATAAATAAATAAACTTAATCAAATATATATGAGGAGGGATCAATTTACTTTTAAAGTAAGTCTTTACAAAATTAAAAAATTATACGATACTTCATTATATATATTCAAATTAATATATATTTTAAGAATATATATCCATTTGATTTTATGTAACAAATAAAAAAGTTTTAAAAAATTTAAAATTATTTAATAATTTATTTCATTAATTCAAATTGACAGATAATCATAAAAAAATTATATATTGATTTGAACCTATATAATAAAGTATAATATGATTTTTATTTTTTAAAAAATTTTGTAAACTTGATCTATACGTTAAAAACATTTAATTTACTGATTGAATTATTAAAATTTGATATATAATATATAAGTTATTGAATGAAGTAAATCTACCAAGATTTACATTTGGAGTAAGTATATTTCTTCTCATATATGTGTGTGTATACATATACATATATATATATATATATATATATATATATATATATATATAGAGAGAGAGAGAGAGAGAGAGAGAGAGAGAGAGAGAGAAAGAGAGAGGGGGGGGGATAGGGATCCATTTGTTTTAAGAATAAGTCTATTTAGGCTAATTCCACTAAATAACAACTCATGTTTTATATCAAATTTTAATGATTTAATTATTAAATTAAAAGTTCTTAATGTATAAATGCAAAGACTTAAGAAATTTGAAAACTATTTGATATTCTATTTCATAAATTTAAATCGAAGGATAATCATAAAAATATCTCATAAGTTGATTTGAATCAATGAAACAAAATATGAAATAATTTTCAAATTTCTTATAACTTTGCATATTTGACCTATTGATTAAAAATATTTAATTCAACGATTAGATTGTTGAAATTTGATGTAAAACATAAGTTATTGAGTGAAGTAAATCTAAACAAACTTGTTCTTAAAGTAAGTAGATCTCTCTTCACACACATATTAACTGTCTTAATCACAAGTGATTAAGTGTGGCTAATCAATATATTTGTGATAGTGAAACACTTATACATAATAGTTGACTTGGACACAACATCGCAATTAGAAGTACCACTTTAACTTAGAGACAAATTTGATAGGAATGACTTATACATCATTATAAAACAAAAAAGAAAAAAAGTTAGAGATCAGTATGACTTTATCTTAAGTATAATAAACACCAAGACTTAAATGTGATTTAAATATCTCAAATTTAAAATAAATTTATTTTTGATCCTCAAATTTTAAATTAATTTTTTTTGTTTATGTAATTTCAAAAACTCTTGCCGTAATTTTCTAGAAACATTAGTAATATAATTAATAGTTACAAATTGAGACAATTATATAATGATAATTAAGATTTTATTAAGAAAAATTTTTAGTAGAAGAATTTTGTATGATAAATTTAATGATAAATAAATTTTATTCTATAGATTTACTAATCACATTAAAAAAAACTAAAATTATGATTTTTGTTTCAAATGACAGGAACTAAAAAGTAAAAACAATTTAAATTTTTTTAAAAATTAAAAAAAAATTTACTTCATATTTCAAATATTAAAAACATATTTAAACTAAATACCATAATTATTCGATTCAATCTTGTATCATGTGTGCCAAACTAATATAATTTCAATCATTTAATTAGGGTTAGGGCTTCACAAGTGCTGTATATATAAATATGAGTCAAGTAAATGAAAAGAAGGGCATCACATGCAAAAGGACTTACTTGCTCAGCAGAATCATTCACTAATGATAATTGGGCTTTTATGGATCTATTGATATCTGAAACCTTACGCAAGGTCTCCTTAATCAGGCCAATGATGAAAAATCTTATGAGCCAGTTCGAAAGTTGCTCTATCTGATAACCAACCATCATTAAAATGGTAACCATTATTCACCCACTAAAATGGTAACCAACCTCTCTCTCTATAGTCTATATATTTTCTTTTGGTTATGGAAAGAAGATCATGCAACCTGTTTATATACAGTATAGCTAGTTAGGTCGAACATAATGTTAAAATGGAATTTTCTTTGCTGACTTGTCAAACGTATTTATTAAATAAGAAAATTCCACTACCCAATTTAATTAAGAAATATCGGAACAGTTGAACGTGTTATTCAGGTTACCGATTATCACTTTCATCCTAAATTTAATACTTTTTAAATAATTTATCTTCATAATATTTTTTAATATCTTTATATATATATACTCTACACAAACAAAA